TTTTACTTAAGTACATTTTTTGAGTACTTTCTCCACCACTGGTCCCATCATCCCTTAAAATAGCAAATAGCTTATACTTAAACTGATCAAAGAAGAACAAGATTATTCTACATTGAACCGAGACTCTTCCTAGGTTTATAAAATCTTTATTAATGGGTGAATTTCTATGTTTTTGTTGCATTAGGACTTAAATAAAAACTGCAAAATTGACTAACTTGGGGTGATAACTTCAAATTTCTGTTTTATTTTTCAAAAATATCACTAAATTTGTGATGGTTTTACATTGATTTTTTTTTTCTGTTATTCTGATACAAATAATAACCCCCCTTTTCCTTGTGCTTGCTTTGCTTTTTCCGAACATAATCTCTATTGTAAATTGATACACCATTTTCCAGAGCAAAATCCATGTCACACAACCTATCACGTTTCCAGTCATTTCTATTTTGGCAGACCGAACTACTACAGCAGCAAGGACAAGTCCTGTGGCGTTTCACTGAGTTGTAATGCAGATGTTCTGTTTTGCTACAAATGCTCGCCCGTTGTTACCTTGACAGCAGTGGTGATGTCCAAATGAAGCTCATTTCGGAGAGGACAAACAGTCTTAAATGCCCTCATGTTTTGCATGTAGCCAATCCCCCTGGCATGCACAGACAGGAAAAACCAATTACATGACAAAATTGCTATTCAACTCATCACACAGTGACACATTGTTCTCAGAGTTTAGCAAGTATAATAGCTGCAATCTCACTAAATGAATTTCAGTCTAATTGTATGCAGGAGTCCAGGTTATTTATGCAGGAGGAGAAAGATACGTGTTGGGTGTGTATGAGAGTTTGTATGACTGGCAGTTTGTTTTTATGTAATAATGGGGTTCATTACCTGAGCAATCACTAACTTCTGTAAATATATCGACAAAATTACAATTTCCACATGAAAATGTTTGCATATATATATTTTTTCCTTCAGATTTAAATCATTCCAAATATCTGAGTAATAAATGTCTGTTTCTGGTTAGAGGATACTCAAAAACATTGCACTGCTTTGTATAGCATAAAGTTATTGTTTCTAAAGTTTCTGATCATCAAAACAGTTTCTTGTTTGAGATAAATGTTGTCATGGCGATCTGCTCAAGCTCACATGTTTCTAAGATACATCTACAAACAGCTACTGCACTTTCAACCTTTAAAAAGTCACGAGTGGCTTCAGATTTGCTTTGTATTGCAATGTAGGCATCAAGTGCGAGAGCATTTTTACAAGTTGTATGAAAGCTTAGCATGACATAAATGAAAAATAATATAGAGATAGATGAGAATATGTCAGAATACTGGCACACAAAATTCTGCCTTCTTTAGCATTTGTGCGACAATTTGTTGTTAGAAACAAATGATCGTTACTTTGTTTCGTATGGAAATGAGAAATGATCGAGATAATACCGTTGTAATATACGGTGATATTACTGCTGCCTGCACAGAGTGTGACTGACCGGCTTTCGTCTCTCTGTGTTCGTTGGAGTGAAAAAAGGTTCTTGGTATGGGAGCGCAGGCGAGAGCCTGATGTGATGGTGGTGTGACTTTACCTCAGCATGAGCTCGTAGCGTGTAATGGCAGCAGCGCTTGTGCAGGGGAAAACCTGACGCATGTTCTTCATCAGGCACAGGCAGTGCTCTGTGTACAGTCTGAAGCTGTCTGATAGCTGCCTCTCCTGGACACAGGAAGGGCCCTCAGTTATAGCTTCCAGTACACTGGCTGTGGGACATTTTTGGCTGAACCAAAAACCTTGATGAATGCCAGTGAAGAGCTGAGCTAATGAGGTGACTGTTTCTAGGCGATGGAAGTTTTTTTTTTTTTTTTTTTTTTTTCCCTATTGGGAAAGCCGATAATGCAGAACCTACCAGGTCTCCCCTCACGGTGGGAGGGTCCCACTCTGCATCGATGGTCCTCAGGAGGCGCAGCAGCAGGGAGTAGCACAGCCTCTGGTTCCGATGATGGTTGCTGTAGCACTGCCAGCGCCTGCGTAAAACAAAAGAAAATATGCACCTTGCAGGCAAATGCTTCAGGTCGCATACTCAATTTAATCAATGTAATTTTGTCATTAATACCTACACAATAGCCTGCTGCAGAGGTGAGAGATCAGTTTGCATAGCATGGTGAGTTAGCACAGTCCATGCTGGAGGAGAAACCTGTCCATTCCAGTTGTATGGCTCTCTCTGGGGTTTTAAAAGAGTGGCAATATAATTTTATTCACATATTATGCAAAGTAAGATGCTTTTCTTTTTTTTTTGTCAAACAGATGATGTTTGTGTGTGAGCTTTTACAAACATCTAAATACTAACAAAGGTCTAATACCAATGTAGAACAAAAAGCGTCGGTCACTTCAGAATAATTACCACACTTAAATCAGAACAAAGAGAAGCTGTTAGCTCCATGAAAGGTTGCAGCAAAATCATAACCAGTGCAACAGCTTTGTTCAGTCCAGCAAATTAAAGTTTAAAGGGAACCCATTGCGCATCCTTTTAAACAAGCTATGATAGATATATGGACTTTACAAAACATGTTCAATTTTATTGCACTAAATCATTAAAAAGCAATGTTTCATTCTTTCAAATTGACCTGTTTTAGGCAGCTGTCACTTTTATGCATATACGTTGTTGCTGGTCACACCCTCCCAACTCATCATTTGGACATACACGTCCAAATGCCTGCAAACAGATGTGTAATTGTACAACTGTACATCTTGGCCCCTGGATCAGACCCAGAAGCATAAGAAGATGAGCCGTCTACGGTTTCTGAATGGTAAGCCAACAACAAAACACTTGTCTTTTCCAGCAGCCATTGTAGAGCGCACACACAGCAATAAATTGATCAGCTCCATTGTAACAAATACTGATGATTGAGCAGAACTGATTAGGCAAGTTTCATCTCAATAAAGAGAACAGGTTGTTGTTTTACGAAGACCTGAGCATAAGAGACAAAGTCCATACTAATCCATAACCTTTAGATATTTTTCTTTCAAGCTGAAATACATATCTAACCAGAATAATTTTATCAGCCAAGATTGTGTGCACAAATAAGGACTTTATCTTCAGTTTAAAAAGCTCAGATGTAAGATGACTCATATGTAAAGTACAGATGTAAAAGATAAGCATATATAGTTTACAGAAAATAAAATAAAGGAGAAAAAGAACATGCACACCAAAAGCTTTTTATGTAAAGGCAAAGGAAAAATGAAAGCTAAGTTGTGGTAGTGCAATACTCTTCTTTTGTTTCACAGTAGAGTAGCTGATCGTGTTCATCAAAGACAACCTGGGGAAAGACATTGTGTCCATGGAGGCTGGTTTTGGAAAACAACACCAGCCTGAATGTAAAGGTAGAAACAGTTTTAATATTAATCTTGTAAAATGGACTCAATCATTTCTGAAGGTCTTTGGCTTAGTTTTCTTTCAAGTTTTTCGGTTGACTTCATCAACGCTTTAACAGGAATGTTTTCTGTTTTTTTATTTTTTTTTATTTGTGTAAGCACTTAACTCAGACCTATGAATGTATCAGACATAAAAAGGCTCCCACACATGAGGCAAAAGCCATTAAAAAGATAACTTGCAAAAAAATAAAAAAAAATAAAATAAAATCATTTGGGTCTTTTTCACACAGTCTTTCCTAATGATATCTACTTAGATGAGTGAGAAAGGCAACATAATTTTACACAAATTCTGTGTTGTCTCAGAAAGCTAGCAGAACCTGACACAAAGTAGACATCTAGCTTCGTAATGATCATCTCTCAGTTAACATTTTGCAGGGTTTTATGACACAAAGGCAAAATATGTTGTTTTGATGAGGAAAGATCAAAGTGAAAACAGGTGAAACAGCAGCCAAAAGCCATAGAAAACATTTAAAAGACCTTCAGAAACCTCAGCTGAGTTGGTCAAGACTAATTTAAAAGCGCATGACATAGTGTTCCTTCTTAGATTAAAATAATTATAAAATCTACACCTTTTCAGAATACTATACAGTTTCTGGTAAAGCACAGTGCATTACAGATTTGTCCTGTTGTTGCTTTTTTGTTGTGCTTCAATGTTAGAAATTATTAAACATATTTGAAAGTGAGCAAATATAATAAGAGTATATACAAAAAGCCATTTTTAAATAAATTATTATTTCAGTTAGTATGAAAAATATTCTACCTATAAAAGTGGCATGACCCGTGAGCCGCCACGCCACAGAATCTTGATCTAATTTAGGTCTGCACTTTGACTAGGCCATTCCAAAACCTTGTCTATTTTTTAGTCATTCAGAGGTGGAGCTTCTTGGTGTCCTTGCCTAGCATAAGTGTGCTTCAGTTCACAACCTGATGGTCAAACTGTTCTCTTCGAGATTTTCCAGCAGAAAGCAGAATTTAAGGTCCGATCAATCAGAGCGATCATCCAAGGTCACAAAGCACCAAAACAGCACCAGGCCTTTACGTAGCCTCTACTGTGGTTTAGAGCTGATAAGATGATATTTTTTATTTTATTTTAAATGCTACATTAGTTTCAAACATGATATAGCAGCTTTCCAGAAGTTAAACTATGTCTCTTAGTCCACAGAATATGTTCTAAAGGTCTTAAGGAAACTAAGGTTTTCTTAAAAGATGGTAAATCTCAGATGACTCATGAAAGGTGAACAAAGATTGAATTGGACAGTTTTTTTTTCTCAAAATAAATGATATCACAATCAAAAAAGTATTCAGTATTCTCTCGGTTACATTTTGTCTGAAATATTCAGTGTAACAACAACAACAACAACAAAAAAAAACATAAGAAATTCTCCAATGTCACAATTTTTTTCAGTACTGGGTGTATAACATATTTGAACAAATAATCTGCAGAAATCTTACCTTAACTTGAGCATGCTCGTACTCCACAATCTGACTCAGAAGTTTCTTGTGAATGGAGAAGTTTGTGTCCCTCTTTGATAAAGCCGTGTCTCTCTGTAGGTAAAACATGTATTAGAGGATGTACGAATAGACAGGCGCACATTTAATTGATGACGTCCTGCAGAAACCTGGCTAGTGAAGACTTTCAGAATGAGGTGACATTCCCCCTGAACTTTAGATGCACTTGACCGCGGCTCCAGCTTAAACCAGGTGTCATATCCGACAACAGGAATTTCCTGCAAGAAGTAGTCAGTTCACAGTTTGTTCCCAGTTTGATTTTGCATGTTTCGATGTTGTAGCTCTGCATGCTGACTGGACAGACATCGCCGCTCACATTCAAAGGAATGTTGATGCATCCGAGGAAGTCGTCAACGTTCTCCTCAGACCCCGATGACGATGAGCCGTTGGAACGCACCGACTTTGCTATTTGCTTAAAATACCTGGAAAGAAAAAAAATAATAATAAAATCGTAATCTCCAGTTTTATTACTTGAAATTAAAATCTTGCCATTTTCACCATGAGCAAATGATTCTCTGGTCCCTTGGTTGTGATTGACATTCGGAGGTTTTCATTAGACATGTCTGCTATTTATCAGGCTCTGCTGTCTGTGTGCACAGCTTTATGGGCGGCTGGCTTTTCTGTGAGCGCCTTTCAAAGGATAAAAATCAAACGATTCAGTGGAATCAACAAGCAGGACGTAGTTAGTTTTTTTTTTTTTTTTTAAGCAAATGGATGCAAAGGCCTCTTCATTCAATAACTGCCACTTCATGCTTTTTTCACATGAAAGTGACCGTTTCATTGAAGGGTTTAATTTATCTTCTGTTTACTGCCACAACACTGACTGGGTGAATTCACTGTTCAACCAATTATACATAAGGTTTTGCACAGGATCAGAACCTGTTGCATCTTTACACATCAAAACAACCAGTAAACAGAAATAGTCACAAAGAAAAAGGTCTTCTAGATATTTCCTGCCTACTGGTAGATTCAATGAACAAATTTTAATATGAGACTTGAGTAAAAAAAAAAAAAAAAACTCTATCCAGGGCTATCTGGCCATATGTGATAAAGTAAATGTTAAATCATGAGTTGACTTTGATTAGTCACATTGTCAAATAAAAACAGTAAAACAGAATATTGTTTAAAATATGAAAAATGGCTTTTTCATGTAAATCTTTAGGATGCCAAATAGTTTTTTTTTTTTTTTTTTACAGTATTGTAAACTGATGTATTTTTCACCTGCCCATTCCTCGAAGCCCACTGACTTCATTGAGCTTTTTGCAGGCCTCTGCAACAGATACATCATCATCATGATCCCTGCAGAAAAATAAATTATTCACAGGTTAGCATAAGGTCAAGTTTCTTCTACTTTACTGTTTCAGTTTGAATAACCATGAGGAGAACTGAGAAGTAATTGACGCATCGAATAGAATGAATTTCAGCGACTTGGAACAAGTTTCACATAGGAAATGTATACATTCTCCAAAACTGCCAAAATAAAATTTTAATGGAAAAACGCTACAAATGAGAAATGCATGACCGTTCCCTAAACAAATAAAAAACAATTACCAAAAAAAAAAAAAAAAAACATACGTATTTGTAAAGTGTTATCTAAATGTCTCTCCTAGAGTAGCGATGAATAATTGAAATATTTAACTGCACAAATTCTAATGGTCTCTACAATGACCACAACTTTGTTGACATCCTTTCTTAACCAAACAAGTGTTTCAGGATTCCAGGATAAAGTAATTCATTGCACGACTTTCTCTTATGATAAGGAACCTGTCTTGTCCACATGCTTTTCGTGGATTTACAATCAAGTTCCCCTGAGAGGACATTGTCCACGTATGTAACAGGTACAAGGAGTGCCAGGATAGCTTTTTGCAGGCTTGCCCAGTCCCTGTAGGACCAAAGGAAGCAAAGTGTTCACATTCTTGGCGCAAAATGTGAGAAGTGGCTCGGTTCGCTAAGCCTTATTCTGGTTTTTAGTTGGAAAAAAGGGTATGTGCACTTCATGCAAAAGGAATGGAATAATCTTGTTTGCATTGATGAAGCTGGTTAAGTAAGCATGATTGATAGTATAATCAGATTACGTAAGGCAGGATGGAAACTTGGAGTTAAAGTTGGTTTTAAAGCATAGAGTTGCTCAATGAAGCATTTGTTATTATTAGTTCCTTTTACTTGAAGTGTAAAGACCACTATGATATCGTTAAAAACGTAAATAAAATACTCCAAGTTAACACGCAGTTGAGACTCATGGTGTGTAAATGCATAGATACCATCATAACTCCGCAAAACTTCAAACTAACCCTTGAAGCTAAGTTTCACAGAAACAACTCCACATCGCCCTCTTCGGGTCAGGCAGGAAACTGGCTACATAAGTGTGTCAGTCTAGTGTTTTTGCTGACTCCATAAGGCATGTAGGGGCAGATCCTCTCGGCTTTAACATCCCCAGTTCAGAAGATGTGTGTGAAAACTGCTTAAAAACAGTTCAGCATGCCTAAAGGCAGTCTGTTGAACTGTCCCAGACTCTTACACCTATAGGATAGTGATAAAGTTCAGCTAAAAACGAAGCGATAATGTTATTTATTTTCTCAATTTTTAAATGAAGACAGAACTTCATTTCAAACAAAGCAAATCAAATCTCCTTTGACATCCCTTATAAACTATAAAGTATTTTTCTGCAGCTCAATTAAAAAAAAAATAATAGGAAAAGCTGATATGCAAAGAATTACAATGTAGCAGATTTGCTTGTGTTCTCAACTTACCATATGTCCAGATGCAAGAGGTCATTGTGAACATCGTCTATTTCACTAAAAACAGATGAAAAAAAAAACAGAAAAAAACTCATTGGCTTTTGATCCTCTTTGTGACTAAGGTTGACATTAAACACCTCGGTTCTGCTCTCACAGCAGTGAATATGTGGTGAGCTGGTCACACAGCTAACAACTTGCGGCGTTAGTGTGAAACAAATGAAACCGTGATTTCGGCATGTGACACAGTAATCATCATGGACAGTACGTTTCAGAAAGCTTAAAGGTTGTTCTTGTACTCACAACACAAAGTGTTGATCCCACACTGGGTTTAGAGTCTCTGGCTTGACTTCGGTCACCTGAATGCATCTGGCAGGTAAGACTTCTTTGGTGCTAGAGCGTTTCTCCAGCTTTTCCCTCCTCTTTCTGAAGCTGAACTTTCTCTCCTTCTTCTCCTCAGTTTCTCGGGGGCTCTGACCCACCAGGATTCCCAGCATGCAGTAGGGGTCACTGTACCCTGTCATAGAGAAGGGAATAAACAATGTTTTTTTTTTTTTTTTTTTTTACATCCATCAGCACTTAGATAAATCGGCAACGGAAAATAATTCTTACAGTCCTGCAGTGAATCATTGTTAACGGTCAAAATGACTCAAAAGCCTTTTAAGAAATGCTTATGAGTGAGTGGGGTGGGGGGGCGGTTAATCCAAAGAAGTCAAATAAAAAAGCATTTCGGTCGCATTTTACTGCAGGACAAAGCATATTTCATGAAACACATTGTTTCCCATTAGAAAATACTTAGCTCATGCTTGAATGTTTTTACCATTTGCATCCTTGGCCATCAGGTTCTTTGCTTTCATAACAGAGACTCTCAAGGAAAAACTGGCTCGCTGTAAGAAAGGAACATTTGTTACTGGAGAAACCCGCACCAATAGGCAACTTTCATGTTGAGAATGAAAGGTGGTGATGAGAATATCAGTATGTGCTGCAAAATAAGCGTGTATTTAGTCAAATTCTTGCAAGACTGAACAGATTCAAAACAGAGATAAGGCTTCGGTTTAGCAAGGAGTGGTATTTGGAAAAGCTTGACTTAACAGCAAGCTTTGTTCAACTTAGAAAATTTAACCTCATCCGGGTTTTAATTTCTACCCAGATTAACAAGGGCGTCAGTGCTTTACTGCTGCAGACTTAAAAAATATATGTATGTGTGTAAAAAGACTTCTCACTATTAAAATGCGATATTTCATCTCAAATTGCAATCTGTCTTGCAAAGTGCTGCCTAGTTGCTTTTTTTATGTGAGATCGTCTGGCTAAAAACCTCTACGGGCGTGTTTTGCCTAAGAGACCTGCTGCGTTTTTCGCTCCATAACTTATTTAGCTGGAACCTTGTAATTCACCCCCCGTCTCTTTCTTCCTTTTGTTTGCTTGCACTGTGGGGTCCAAAAAGAGTCATTCATGCAAAACACATCCACAGACACAAAGCAGCAACTGCTCCTATTGGAGGAGTGTTGTCTTGTTTTGCAGCCGAGTGAAGGAGAGAGTCTCTTTTCTCAGAAATGAAAAGCCACAATCTTCAGCGTTAGCATGTAACCAGTGATTCTGCCACAGGGATATTTAAACAGTAAGACCAAAATTATTCGATTTTTGATTTAAATTGGAGATGATTTTCAATCAACCAAGAAGTGTTTCTGATAGTAAATGAGGTAGGAGTTATATAAAACTATTTACAGGGAAAAAACATGTTTTAATTAGAACATGATAAAATGGAAAATTACTTATATATTTCTTAATAACCAATGAAAAAAATATTTTTGACATTTTTGAGCAACTAAGCCATGTCCTGACCAGCCTTTTGCATGTTTCCACTCGTATTTTTATTTATTTATTTTTTGTTGATGAGCTAAAAGTCTTGAAAACAACTAGGTATTAACCACACATGTAGAAGAGTTGGTTTCCTAACAGCCCAGGAAACATTTTAAATATTCTTAAGAAAAAGCATCAGTGTAATTTTTTATTTTTTAGTTTACCCAAAAGGTATTGTTAAAATCCTGTCATGCATCATCATTGTGTCATTACAGTGTTGGCACAACTGTGCTGGTATTGTCATTTTCAGATGGCGACAGAGTAAAATGCCTCACCTTTGATTCTTGAACTTTTTGAAGAATGATCTCATGTTCCTCATCACCCATGTCAAACACCTTGGAAAAGACGGCGATATAATTGTCATTATGTCGTTACATGTAGTGGTACTGTTTGCTAATTCTGCTTCTGCTTTTGCAAAAAAAAAGAAATTACTGAACATTACTGTGGTTTTAAGCTCTTTCTTGTTTCTTTAGTACCTGAACTGTCGGGAAACCCTTTGAAATAAAGACTCCCATTTCAGACAACCAAAGGGCTACAATCCTTAGTGCGGCATAATCACAGCTGAATATCAGTGCAAAGTGTAACTGGGCTTTGATGTTTAATCAGTTTTGAGCCAAGAGCATCTGCTTGAATTCTTACAGCCTCCTCACAACAAATAACACTTTCTGGGAGGCCACCATCAGTGTTACTGAGAAATTTAATGAAGCTCCAGGAATACAGTCTGTTCTATGGTTGTGCTTGTGATTATTACATGACACTCAGACAGACAGAAAGGCAGACACACATACAGATACCTTCAGCAGGTAAGCAAACAGCTCGTCGTCACTTTTCACATGTTCTGGAGCAGGCACACCAACCCTGTTGACCACCGTGTACACAGCTTCCTCATAAAGCAGATCCAGCTACATGAAAACACACTCCACTCAATAACTTCCTTTCAGGGATAAACGCACGAGTTCTTTTCCCTACGTGATATCTGCTCTGCTGCACATCACAAGCAGGGATAAAAGCCGTGTTTCTTTCCCCTCTTTTCGTCTTTTAAAACATAACTCCTGCTGAAACACAATGGAAATAGCAAAAAAAATAAAAAATAAAAAACAAGCCGACACACCTCTGTCCTGCTGACTCTTTCGGATATAAAGGCCTGGTCCACATGCTCTTGTGGTGGCGGCATTGTGCACGGCCCTCTTTGGCACTGCAAGGAGACAAATTCAGTTTAGGCTCTGATAAAAAAATAAAAAAAAAAGGTTCTGCTGGTCATCAGAGAGGAGACGCTGAGATCGCAGTCAGATATCGGAAAGTATCACTTAAGCCAAGTGAAAATACTTCACAAAGGTTGCTCTGCAAACACAATGAAGCAATCAGAAAGGGCTAAGGAGCTGCAAATGTCATCAGCATGGACCTCAGAACTGTATGGAAAATTACCTGCTGTATTCACAATTAATAAGAGCTTGGCTGGTATCTATACAAGGTCACATTATTCTTATTTATATATTTACGTTAATGCTAAAATCGCTACAAGCTTTTAGGGTTATAGTGCATACAGTTGAGATTTATTTACATCTTACATAATACATGAGTGAGGGGGGAAAAAAATCGCAATTTTGTAAAATAATGCTTATCTTTAAAACAGCACAAACTATTAATAAATGTTAAAAACTGAAGAAAGAAATCCCACTAAATTTCGATGTCACAACTGCAAATAGACACTCAATCTCTTCTAATTTGTCAATTTTTAAAGCAGCGTGGATGTGATTCACGTCTTGACCAACGTCGACGGTTTCCGTTTCTGTCATTTTACCGTGTTTAACATGCAGTAATTTGGGTGTGAAGTCATGAGTTGCTCTCATCAGTCATGGCTGGCTCTGCCAGTAAAGTCTGAACATATCAGTCGACAGCAGCTTGCAACAGCTGAGCACCCAGTCTTCTGAGCACCCTGTTTAACCCAGTCCTTCTGTCTGTGGACGTCATAGTGGTCATGATGGTGGGCTGAAAGACAGCTCTGTGCCCTGCTGGCTACGCAAACTGTTCACGTTTCGAGTGTGTAACAGATGGAAAGGTGGAAGTTGGGTTGGGGTTACCTCAGCCTGGGCTGCCCGCGTCATGTTCTCCTGTTTCTGCAGGATGGCATTCATACGCTCAAAGAACTCCGCACTTTCACCTGAAATCCTGCCAAGAAAGTGGAGCAAAATGAGAAACTGTTCTTATTTCTACAACTAGGACGAACTACACAGGTTGACCTAAATGGGCCACATCGCCTGATTTGCTAGGCACATGAATATTTATGAGTATTAGGCGAACACACATCCGTGTTCGGTGACATTGGTGAGATCAAGCAGCGTCTTGTTAACACACATTTTGAACAGGGTTTTGTCAATACATGATATTTTTTGATCTGGTTCTATGTGCTACATGTGCGACTTCCTCTCCTGCAGTTCTGTGTGTCATCAGATGTGTAAACACCTTCTCTTGTCTGGCATTAGAAGGCTTTCAGTTGCACTCTGCACAAAGCATGTTAATCAAATTTTATATGTCGGGTTGTGCCCAATATGCAAATGATGCTTTTCTGTTTCCTCCAGGTGGGAATGAATCCCAAAACTCCTGCTAGTCACAGTTGTCATGGTGATGAGGGCATGTTCAGAAAAAAGGGTAGCTGGCTGAACACCTTGGGAATCCCCAATAAATCCACCCTCTCCCCGACCTCTTCCCCCCTCCCAAATCTCTCAAGGGGTACCTTCCTTTCAGGCTGTTATGGAAATAACAGACAACTGCCCTGATGTGAGCTGCAGCAGAACCGGCACAATCACTTGGGCTGTGTTTTTTTTTTCCCCCCAACGCCTCATCCTGACTATCCCCTCCCACTGTGATTCTGTCTTCTTCCTCATCTATCAGGCAACACTGTGCAGAAGAGCCCCTACTCCCTTCTTTATTAGCGTCATCACTTCGCAGCAGGCATATGGCAGCCCATCCCAGCACCCACTGACTTTCAGCATGGTGGGAGAGCGGATGGTAAACTCGCGAGGGTGTTTATGGAGACTAATAGAAGGCATGCTGGGAGAACTGGGAGGATTTTCACTGATGTCAGGCCAAATACACAGTGAAATGTGTGATGTTTATTAGACAAAGTGACAGATTAATTCTAATTTCCTAATCTATTAAAGCTAATGGGATTATAGCTCACAGTTGTTATAGTATGAAACAATTAGTGGGTTTCCAACAAATTGGCTATTTACTAGAATTGGTTTATTTTTGTCCTGATCAGCTCTGATGAGTGACCGAAAAAAAAGAAGGATTTTCTCAATCAGTAAACGCTGTAATAAACACTATTAGGTCACTCTGTGTGCAACAGTCAAGGATGTGAAATGTATTAATGAGTGTAAAAGACTCAAAGGTAGCTGTGAGATGTTTAAAACAAAGTCAGACGAAGTTCAGAGAAGCAAGAGGCTATTTAAAAGGAGTCAACAAAAAACAAGAGTTTCAGTAGATAAGGAAGGCTAAATGGAAAACAGCAGAGTTATTCTGTTTTACCCTTTTGAGCTTCCAACCTCTGTCTACTTTAGAGCATGCTAAATTTGAAGATACTGGCAGGATACTGCAATACAATGGACCCCTCAAATTCACAGATCGCTTAAAGCAGTTTCACAGATTCTTATGTAGAACATAAATCCAAATTATTCATAGACAATTTGTTAATGTTTTTGTAGATTTTTGAAATATCTGAAAGAAAATGGGAAGTTGAAGTACCTCACACTGCTGAACGGTGAGCACAAAGCAACCAATCCTGGAGCGCTGATTGGCAGCAGAGGGCAGGAATTCTGCAGATATTAGCTTCTGCAGTAGTGCTAAGATGGCTTAATGCATATTGAGGTACATTTGGCAGTTGAGTCAATGACTCAACATAATCTGCCACGTTTCCTTAGATAGAAATGTTTTAAGCTAATTTGAATAAGGAATTGAGCTTCATGTTGGATAACTAGGAGTAATTGGAATGTATGCTATCTAGTAAGTAACTTGAAAACGTGACTAAGGTGAGTGAATGATCTTGTGATTTGGCAGAATATAAGTTAAACCACTGATGGTGTGGTTCACAGTCCAGTCTGAGATATGGTCATGAGTTTATTGGCATATAAAACTGACTAAAATTATGGTTGTAAGAAGTTGTGCTTAAAAGCTGTTTACTTGAATCTGGAAAAGCCAGGATGCATGTAGCTACCAGTTCTGAGTAAAGTAGCGAACGCATTTAATTAAGAAAGCTTAGACGAAATTACAAGTTCTCCATGATGACATAGCTGAGGAGTGAGGTTATCGGTTATCTACCAACATTTTGTAAGTTGTAGAAGACTCTCTCAGAGAAAAATAGATAAATAGGTTTTTGCAGCTGTGGCTTTAGCTAAGAGGTTTAGGATTTCTAAGAAGAGAGAACTATGAAGAACAAATGTAAGTTAATACAGAGAGATTACAACATGGAAAAGTTGCATGCACACTTATTGCTCATTATAAAGTTGCTTCCTGGGTGTTTACAGTTTTAATTTACACATAAAATCAAGACCTTTGAGCCACTTGGGTTTTTTTCTACAACTGTGTTCATTTGCCTCAGGTACTGTTGTTGTCTCGTCTTCTGGCGGTCAACCTGAAGATTATTGTCTCTTTTTGACCGGGTGACAATACATTACAGGTAGGAAATGAAACCCTACTGATTCAAATTACACACAGATTATATTGATTCGACATTTACACATATATAAAAGCACAGTTCAAATGCATTGCTCAATCTGTCTTTCTCTCTTTGTCTCTCTCTCTGTCTCTCTCTCTCACACAGACACAGACACACAAACACACCAGCATAACCAGAATAACAGTGATTTGATGTTGCTAGGAAACAAGTCTTTAAAAAAAAGGAAAAAAAGAAAAAAAAAATGTTCTAATTTATTTTTAAAATTCATCCAGATGCTTCAATCATGTTTTCCTCTGAAGAGAGCGAATCAGAGGCACAGCAAAAATTGAAAATATGAATCCCATGTAAGTCTTCTATTTAGGAAAATTGTTGTAAGCACCTCTAAATGGGTGTATGAAGGGGACAGCATGCGCTCTCTGCAAACTTAAACATACTATGGCCGTGCATAAATAATAATTAGTCTTGTACCCATCACTGTTACCCCAAGCATGACAAAGAATGTGACATCCAGTTGGATTGGAACAAAATAAGATCCTTTTCTCTTTTTTTTAAATTGGCTTCATCATGGTTGCCACACAACAATAAAAGCCTGCAACTCGCATCGTAAACAATATCTCTATAAGAAGGATCAACCTCAGTGATACAAAGACTGTTTGTTTTACTGTAATTATGTCTCTGATTAAGAAACAAAACATTACAGGTGGAGAAGCTTCAGAGCGGAAAACCCAGAACAACCACAAAAGCTCTAATTACATCTCTTCGTTCAGTAACTTGACAATTATATTTTGGTCCCAAAATAATAATAATAATTAAAAAAAGTTGGAGCTTCTTGAGAAGCACTGTGGTATTTTTGTATTGTGAGATCTCCTGTGAGATCTTGTAATACCTCTACTGCTCAGAAATCACTGTGATTCCACAAATGAGGAAGCCTTGTAGTTAAATTTGCGAATGAATACTCAGCAGTGGGATTCATTCGGACCTGTCCAAGGTGTACCCCGCCTCTCGCCCGGAACGTTAGCTGGAGATAGGCACCAGCACCCCTCCCAAGCCCACTAAGGGACAAGGGTGTAAAGAAAATGGATGGATGGATGGATGGATGGATGGATGGATGGATGGATGGATGGATGGATGGATGGATGGATGGATGGATGGATGGATGGATGGATGGATGGGATTCATTCAAAGTAGTGTTTGAAAAACACCACATGAACGATGAGACAGGCTCAACGAAGACCTGAATGTCCAGACGACTCACAGCATCTCCTTCAAAATGCTACTATTGGGAAAATGGTACTGCAACACCAAATGCTGTAAAGGAGAGATGCAGTTTTCTACTGTACAGTGGGAAATAGCTTTACTTTCAATTAATGCCTTCAAGGTTGCTTAGCCACAAAGTTAATCTAAGAATGTAAATTTTGTCCTTTGCTTAGGCACAACACAAAGACAGTTTTTGAAAAACTACACTGAATCACAATAGAAAAAAACATCATAATATTTTGTCTGAAACACAAAACTCCACCAGAGGACACAGCTTTCCAAATCATCGAGAATTCATCATCAAACCCCGCTCTGGGACCAGAGATTTCAAAATTAAATGCAGAATTCAGTTTCATTTGGAAAGAGCAAATTGCAACACTAGAAAAAAGGTCAAGTTTTTCCTCAACTCTTGCCAAGGCAAAACTTACCCTGATGTTACCTCTGGTTCAGGAGGGCCACAATAGTTGAAATTTGTGCTTTGGATATGTGTCTGTCCATTAGCATTTTTTGTGGCCTACCCCCATCGTGGAGGATGTCAGTGATTTTACTGGGCAATTGTCTTCCATGTGGTTGTGAAGGCAATAACATAAAATTCAGTTTCCATTAGCTGCTATGAAATATGTAAGTTTTACTTTTTGACTTAAATTTCTAAGACAGCTTTTGTTTTCTTTTTAAATCTCTAGTTTAATGAGGAATAATAATTTATAATTGAGCTTTTGAGTAAAACTATGTAAACTATGTGACATATTCAGGATTTCTAGTTAACAACATTCTAATTCATTGGAGTTTTTCTCAGATATTAAAATGTAGTAAGCTTCAGTACAGAGACAACAAGGAGTCAAAGCTATTAAAGACATTGCCACAAGTTTCAGATTTAAAACGAAAGAAAATTAAGTGTGAATGAAATATCACATTTGCCACTGCTGAAAGCAATAAGAGGGAAGACTAAACATGTAAATAACCAGCAGAAATATACAATCAAACATAAATCCTGTGGGATTTTCTTCACAGTCTGACCAGCTCACATCTGAGTTATGTTTTTTTTTTTTTTTTTTTTTGTTTTTTTTTTATATTTCCAGAGATTTAACAATCAGTTCTCATAGAGGTAATAATGCGCTCAACTGAATTAAATGTTTACGTCCTCTGTCTGCCAGTCACTGTCTACTCAGAGAGCCTCAGCTCTGACGACTGGGTCAACAGCTGCAAACGAAGCAGTCCAAATCTACCCGGCCTCATT